CTAGTTGGTGCCTCTGCTGCTTCTTTTCTGTTTGTTATTGGCCCTCAATTTAAAGGTCTATCTTCATGGAATTGCATTTCGTGTGCATTGGTATTAGCCAGCATAATCTTTGCCGCATTTTTATCCTGCGGCCACCGGGTCTTCCATCTTCTGTACATTCCATTCTATTTAACCTTTTTTCAAATGACATCTTCGAATCTTCGTTTTATTACTGTTTGTGGCTTACTCCACAGACTATTTTCGTTAATACAGCATTGTGATAAAATAGAAATAGACTCGTAAGAGTAGGCAGGTAGGAAAAGAAAGACGTAATGTAATGCTGGGAAGAAAAGAAAGTTATGTCATCTTTACTGTACAGTATGCTACGTCTATGTATCTGGATGACTAAAATGAAAATTTTACAAACTTTCTTATAATAGAGAGATAGGGAATAGTTATCATTAAGAATATACAAAGGTCTTGCAAAAATAAATTATTGACCCCGACGTGATTTGAACACGCAACCTTCTGATCTGGAGTCAGACGCGCTACCGTTGCGCCACGGAGTCTTCTTGAGGATCGGTCGCCAATTATTAATCATTTGTATGTCTAATATGACTTACAATAGATTTTCTATACATAAAATATTTCTAAAAGCCTAAACATTATACATATTTAAATATATTAAGCAAATTTTAAATTATGTTTTTCATAAGGACTACTGAAAATGATCAATACAATTGTATAGATTTGTAAATTTCTTTTTGTATATTTTCTTACGTATTCTTACAATTATACATACGTTAATTCTTTTCCATTCTTTATTTACAAGTTGCGACTTAGGCTTTGTAGTTCGAGGCATGTGTCTCATACATATATATTTTTGAATATTATTTAATGATTATTTCTTTGTTTTTCAATTACTGTGATCTTGCACTATGAATTATTGCAATAAAGTATTGCTTGAGTATTGATACCGATGTGTACTAACAGGGTGTGGCTCGTGGTGGCATCTTCAGAATGAAACATGGATCAGGCTAACACATAATTGAAGAGCATACTTTCGCTGTACTTTTTTGGAGCAAGTATGTTTATTATTATTTCTCGCCACTGCTTCCCCTTTATAATCAAATGATTGTTCAATAATCGACCTTGTTAACTGAAATGGTCAAGAACGGCTAGCCCCCGATGATAACAATAGCAACAGGATTCCATCCAATCGTAGGAGCATAGAATTATATTTATACACGCTCTCACGTGTAACTTTCTTCCTGATGTCTTTCAACCAGTTAAAAACTTGTTCGTCGATACAAAGACTATTTGTCTAGATAAGTGCTCGGCAAGAATTGCACTTTTCAGCTGTTTTTTGGTAGACTACGCCCAGCGCTTTCCCCTTACGGTGTCCCGCGCGCAGTCGACGAGCAGTTCGAGGTGGTTCGAGGCTCAGGACCGTGTCACCTAGCCGGTACCTTGTGAACATATTTTTAAGGGGAGATTACAGTGTTGTAATAGTTTTAAAAATATGTTCGCGAGGGCCCGGTGACCCTGGGCCTTCAAGGATCGGTACTACCGCCTTCTTTCGTTAATTGCGTGCCACGGAACGCGAAGGTTCTGTGCTTCTGTGAGAACACAATCCAGAAACGCATGCGTTATCGTTACATCATTGTAAACATATGCAAAAATTAAATGGCAGCGGTGGGATTCGAACCCACGCCTCCGAAGAGACTGGTGCCTTAAACCAGCGCCTTAGACCGCTCGGCCACGCTACCAGTTGAAATCTCAGTTTGCCCCAAGGACATCATAAATACATGTTATTATAGGAAATTATTTTAAGATACGTGGTAAAATCTATCAGGAAACGATTCTTTTGGCATAAAAAAAGTCATGCATGAAAAGCGTGCTAAATGTGCGACCGTCACGATGGTGGATCATGGTGGATCCATCCCCTCCAAACGTTCTCTCCCTGTCCCCACTCCGTCGTTTCAGGATGCGCGTTGTACAACGGCGCAGTGCCTCGCCTTGCTCTACTCTAGCTAACGTACCCCTTTCTCTGTCGAGACGCCGCAAGGGAAGGAGCTGCGTAAGGAGTCCCCACTCTTGGTTCCACTTATATGTACTATGGCAGGGCTTCCCAACTACCAGCGCGTATACTGATACCGGTATGTAAATAGTGAACCACTGTTGCGCGGGTTCTTCCAAAAAGTGACAAAAAGAAGTAACAAATGCGTTACACCACTTGTATATACTTAACGGTTGTGTTTGTAAGAAATTGACAATACAAAAAACGGCACCACGCAAGAGGACAAATTTTCTACGTTTTGAACTTTGTCGATTTCGGGTAATTTAGTTGAATATAGTTCTCAGAAGTACCGTTCGTAATCGATGAGGTCACCCTAAAACTTTTGAATTGTACGGAATCGGTATTTCAGTTTTTGTGACACCAACTCTCGTAAAGTGATAAGTCTATTATCTACTCTAATCCTTATCCATGCATAATATTACATTAGATATCAATTCTATACCTCTTCTGTATTGCAAATTAGTATTCGTGATAGTGTAAACACGTTTAGTTCGGTATTTTTGCGGTAGGTGTAGACACCTACCAATTAGGTATCATCAATTTATAAAAATTTTGTTTCTTTTTTTCGTGTATAGATACGATGAACACGTAGAATAAGCAAAATAATACGTTGCAATAGTGCAGCAGTGGCAAAGTTTGACTAAGGTGTCGTTCTCAACCTCGAGTTATCGATAGTGACGCTTTAAAAAAAAAAAAAAAAGTAAACGGTCAAACGATTAAGAACAGCTTCTAAAAACTATCGGTGGAGGTGGTCACGTGTAAAGAAGGGTAGGTGGTGAGTAAGTGGTCCATATATAGAAGCGCCTCCACGTTCACCAACACGAACGCGTACCTGTCACGCATATATACGCAGCACGAGCACCGAAGCGCACACTTTTTGTGCTTGAGTGGATTAAGCTCTGCCGATTTGACGGCTACCCAACGCTTCGTTAATTGCAAAAGAACGACTACAAACCGCATTCATCATGCCTGGACGTCCTCTGTGGCAGGTAAGAAGTGTCAGAGGAATCTTATCTATCGGTTTCTTACCTATCCGTTCGTACAGTTAATGCATTTTAGCGCCATAAAATTGCGGATGATACAAACAACATCACTCTTACCGATACGTATGTACACATAACCTTCAAAATGCAGTTTATAGATCGAGATCCCACGGCGAAAGTACACATCGATTTTGAAGTCGAGTCTATAGCGATATTCTAATAACTTTGGAAGAGCGAAATTCGTGTTACCGATAGCCAAATTTACTCGTGGAAAAATACGTATTCGGTTCGTGTTGAATTTGTGACAAAATAATCGTGAATTGTAAAGTTGCATACGAGAACGTTTATTGCAGCTAAGTTTTGCCGATTTAGAATTTAGACGCGGGTTTTGTTTAAGAGCTCGTTTCTTTTGTATAACGTAGAACATGTTAGGATTGAATACAACGTATTACCAATGAAGATTGCATATTTCCAGAAGTATGCGTGTGTACACAACACATGTGTACGAATTATCCCGTTTTAGTCGTTTATGTTATTGTCGTGTCTGGAGAGGTTAGGGTAGCAAAATATGCGGTCGGAAATTGTGATTCCAGCAGGAATTCGTGACAAACGCGTCGTAGTCTGAAATTTCGAGTCGAGAAAAGCCGGAAAATTGTAGAAACGTTGAGAATTTCGCGAACAGTATATGGCAAGGGAGAAATTTCTCTTCTTTGACACGCTGAGAAGCCCATCTATTTCGAACATGTGACTCACGACGTACATCTCCGGTATATTTTTACAAGTTTGCATTAAAGTGCTCTAATTCTGGACAGGTTATAAATCGTGAGTCATCGAATGCACTGGTAAACTAATTTTGATATACACGTGGGATCGCAACGAATACTATCGTTCGCACGAAGGTCGTTCCATTTTCAGTCTAGTTTTTCTTTTCTAAATCAACGAATTTCACAGCTTCCAGGGAATTTCAAAAAGTTAATCGAAAAGTTGGCCGCGAGATGTTTCTTTTTAACGAAATATGAATCCTTGGCGGTCCAAGTTTTTTAACGCGTTGATAGACGAAAGTAGAAATAGAAATTTTGAAGCACGAACGCGTTCAGCTCGTATACGATAAAAACGAGAGGGATACCTGAACAATTTCCGTCGCGATGACAGCACGGGTTCTCGCAGCAGCGTTTATTTACAAACAAGCCGACGTTATTTTTGACTGCCGCGACAAAATTAACTCGGCCAAGTTGAGGGTGCGCCCGAGGCCTCCGCGAGCGAGAGAGAAATTCAAACGAACTGGAACGACCGTTGGAAATAACTGGCGAGAATTTGTTGTCAGCTCAAAATTTTGATTTCTTCATCATTTTTGTTGCTACACTGACCGCGAAAAGAAACGCATAATAATGCTCGAAGAAGTTGGCATATTGCCTAGTTTTGCGACACAGGAATCTTCAATCATCGCAGTATCTTTCTTCGCCCTTGTTTCTGTGACATTGTACAGAAAATATACTTCAAACTTATTTTAAATAAGTTCCTTTCGTTGACCCAGAAAGATCGGTCTTGTATATCTTTCATAGCAACATAGTATTATTATTTCTATTACAACAGATTCTCTTCGCGCATCTGCCGCCTTTTTAGACTTTGGCGAACGACACACGTGCGATTCCTCGAACTTTTCGGCTTACACCAAAGCCGCTATCTTAGAAACAGTTTACACTATTTGTGCCGCAACGTTTTGACGCTCGCCAAGTCGCCATAGTATCTCTATGATCGTTACTCGTGTTTCTTTTGTCCTAGACATCGCTACAATAACCAGATGGTCATCAAACCCTTCCAGAGTCCTCTTCGTGTTACTTTAGCCAAAATTTTCCTGACTAGCAAATCATTTTCGATTGTGTTCTTAGTTCCTTTACTAGAACGCAATGAAATCGTTCACCAATTCAGCAATTAAATTAGAGTTAGAATGATACATGTAATAAAAAATAGCAGCACTGCCTCTTTATTTTTTTTTTTTTTCGTTTACATATTATTAGCAAATTACGAGTAAACAATTGAATACTTTAAATACGTATACGATGAAATTATTCTCATGCAAGACACAAGGTCCCACGATAAGCGTGTCGTAATTGCGTGATCCTGTTCACTCCGAACAAATCCTTTCGTTTTTCGCGATGTTAACGTTTACGACTAAAAGAGAGTGTAAAATGTCTTTGTATATGTGTGTATGTAAATGTACGTGTGTGTATAAGTCGTGTTGTTTCGAGTAATGTGGCGAGTGTATTATTTGAATGAAATAATACTCATCTTCGATGAATACCGTGTGACGTGTAATGTAGGAATAAATAATGTGTATTGTGTAAACGTTGCGTCGGTCGATTAACATCGCGTTTTGCCAGGATATCGCATTTACGTTCACGCAGAATACTATAACAAAATCAATTTAACAAATTTAGGCGTTCTTCTTTCTTTCAGCAATCCTAAATTACATTTTCCTAAATGTCCATTGAAACGATCATTGGGCTCCGATGAGAACATCTCGATTCTATTTGGTCATGTCTTGTGGCATTTGTAGACACATAGGTAGCGAGTAGTAAAAGAATTTCTACACCTATATATCGATCGATAGCAACACGTGCGCATCAGAGAAATCATGTTTACATGTGTCGAGTGTTGCCAAATCCACCGTGACCGGATTGACTCGCGCCTTTGTTGTATCCCATTTGCAAATTGACCTGGCCCTCGCTGGCGCGGAGTTGTTCCTCGGTGAACGTTCGTTTGTTTTCATCCGCCATCTTTGGTCCTAGCCTCGGTCCAGTGTACTCGGGGTGTTTCTGCGTCTGAATAGGAAATTGTAATATTTTAGTTACTTACACCTCTCGAGTTAGTTTTCGTATACTTACAATCCTTCCAAGGGCGTACAGACAAAGCGTAACTTGTGGGATGTTGCGTCTCTCGAAGAGATCGGCCGTTTGGAAGATCTCTTCTTGTGGAACGCCGTAGTCCTTAATGGCGGCTTGGAATCTGCTCGAAAAGAATCATATCGGTTTGTTATCCATCGATAATCAGATAATCAAGGATATTCTAAGTATATTCTATCGGAGTATTAGAGAACCAAGTCACATATATAATGGTTAAAAAAGTGAAGAAGATAACAATAACAACGCCCACCTTTGAACGTTCTCCATGAGTTGGAAGTTGGTTCCCTTGGCTTGAATTTTCTTCACCGATCCTGGCGCTAGTTTATTGATGAGCTTGCACAGGACAACGCCATCCTTCAGAATATCCTCGTAGTTCCCTGGCGGAAGCTTCTCGCCCAAAACAGCCTCGATCCAGGCCAACACCTCCGTCTCTTGTTCCTTGTTGCGAGCCTGGAAGCGAAACGTTCGCCCTTCGTTAAGCGTTCTAAAATTGGAACAGGCGATCAATGGCTCGTCGATGTATACGAGATGGTTTTAGCGAAGTATCCATGGTCGATCTGTAAAGTTTCCTTAGCCTAATTCGATTTAAGAAGCGTAAACATTTCAATTTCTTGTATTCGCCGCGAGATGGCCACTTTTGGTACTTTTGGTACCGTAAACTCGTTGTTGGCAAACCTTAGTTTATTCGTTAAAAGAAAAGTAGCGTCAGAAGTTTCCACTGTACTTTCGGAACAGCGAAACCTCGGATTGATCTAATTTTCGTGGATTTAAAAAGTGCGGTCCAAAGGGTGGGGACGGAAAACGGAAATAGATCGCGGTGTTGCGTTACCAGGGCGTAAAACGTACGTCGAAAATAAAATACGCCGGCCGATTCGTCAGCTTTTATTAAAACTGGCAAGAAACGGCGAAGTTCAGCTCGCTGGCCACCTGTTTCCGTGCCGTGTGAACCCCGCGGGGGTTTCACTCATTTCTAGTAAAATCGTTCATAGGACGAAATTACACTGCTGGCAGCCTGACAATGATTTTACTTCGGTGCCTTCCCTTTCGGGGCTATTACCGTCGCAGAACCGTGTTTTCGATTATCTCGGGGGGTTCGACTAATCGCACGCTACTCGTAGTCGAATGCTTTTTAAACGAATTTCACGGTGGTCGTGTCTTTGACGTTTCTGGCTGGGTCCGATGGACGAGAAGATGTCGCGGGCGCGATTCCCTTCTCGTTTAACGTAAACAATATTGTTAACTGGTTTTACGCTGGTTTACGATGCCAACAATCGGTCAACCGACGTAAATGAAATCTGGCACCCCGCTGTTCGCGATAGATAGGTATTTAGAGCGAAATCAGCTTCGATCATTCGCGAAACTGTTCTTAACCCTGTACCGCGTAACGTCTCGGTTGGGAATCGAACGAGAGCGTTTCCTGTTCGATTAACAAGATTCGGGATAGCCAAGAAACTGACTTGGTTAGTATGAACTAAGCCAGTAGTTTTTTTTTGAAACATGAAATAAAATGCTGGAAGAAAAGATGATTTGAGTAGATTTTTAACCGCAGAAATCTCCAGCTTGTCTGGGAAGTGTCAAGCGTTCGGAAGCAACGTGTTCCTCGTCGAACTCTCTCTCGAGGTGTATTTTAAGCCCCATTCTCAAGAGGAACGGCGATTCTCGCTGATTCGAACCCGGTGTACCCGTCTCTCCCGAGGACGTTTAACGAACGCGGCACGTGGTGCAACGATTCACTAAATTTAACGTTAAATCGATCAAGTCGAGCATCTGTGGCCAAAGAGGCGCCGTTAGATCTTCGTGCACATGAATGACATTCTCTCGCGCGGCGTGGGTTACGTCCCCAATTAGCTGGACATCCGTTCGACGATCGCTTCTCGATACTCGAAAGGTATTTTCCAGTTTAAACAAATTTTTCTTTTGCATTAGCAACGCGTACAATTATTTTCGAAATAGTTCGACGTCCAGATACTACGGAATTTTAGAAAATCATATAGAAGAGTATTTGTTCTTAGACTAATTAATTGGCACGTGGAAAACTTTCGACGAACGAAATGCGAAATTCCCCCGTTGAAGAATGATATACATTTCTGGCGGCTATTCTTACATCGTATTTCTTCTGTACTATATTGCCATCGTTTTGGTCATTATGTTCGTTACTGTAGTGTACATGTTCTATTATTTTCCCGTCACGCTCTTTTAGATTGTATCTGCCACCAGCAGGCTATGTTTAAACCGCGTTGCATGTAATTAAACTTTCCATCTATAAAATTAATCTACAAAATAAAAATGCTGAAATACTGGTAAAATATGCATTTAACGAGCAGGCACGGTAACTACGATTCGACCACGATTTTCCGATTTGCGATTCTGTTTGAAACCATCGGCAAACATAGATATTACGTAAGGCTATTTATCGTGGGGTATAAATACTTTAGGCGAGGGTGGAGGTGCGCGTCAAGAGTCGATCACCGATACAAATCGCCGTTACAGAATTTAAGATTCCTAGCCCGTCAACAATTCGAACACGTTCACTGGTGGAACTAAAAACAGATGGTTACGAATCCATCGAACAACCAACATGTGTCGAGAAAGGTTTGGTGAACGTGCTCGCTACCACGTACGAGTCTCTCGGGAAGAGAGACTTCAGCCAGAACTTTAGTTTTTGTCTTTGAGCTGAATTTTAAGAAGCAGTGTTAAATCAATGTATTTGGTATTACATGTTACAGTATCTTCAGAGTCTTCTGTGGAGTTTTAACTGATTAGTAGCGAACGCGTTAAAGCAGAAATTACTAGGTATAAAGAATTGTTATTCAGACAGGAATATTGTACGTCTTCGCGTCATTTGTTGTAAGAGTCTGCCTCGAATCCGACACCAATAGGCGCTACTACCGAAACCTTATTGTTTTTCTTTTGAAACTTTGTGTGTTTCCTCCGTGTCAAGATTAATCCCAATATCTTGGGAAAATCGCCAGAACGAAATAGCCCAAGGTCCAACGTAATTAGGATTCTACGAATAACCACGATTTGGTGACGATGCGATAGAAAATTATTAATGTACCAGCTGTTAGAGGCTCATTTGTCGTTTCTCGAATCGTTAAAATTTAACCACGATATCGGCAATTTGTATCCGTCGTCGATCACCATAGCCCCGTTTGAACGAACACCGAATCCAACGGTGATTATGGTCGTTGACGATGATAGACGTACCGGCATGGTTTTTCCCCTTTTCTCTTTCGCTGGTCTCCCGGTTGATCACAGACTTGGAGGACTTCCGACTTTTGAACGATGACGCTGACTAGAGACTAAGTCGGACGTCGTGCGTCGCGACGCTATATGCCGGTCTCCCCTCCGCCGTATCCTTTCCGCCGACATTCAGGAACGAGTGATTTTTGGCAGTCTGCCCACCGGGTATTCCCACACCCCCGCCCCCTGTAACCAGATCTTGACACTGTAGCCCTATTTACAAGACACGAAGTCAAAGTGTTGCATATTTGATAACCAGTCTCTCTGCTCCTCTTTTTAAAGAGGTGCAGACACCTTGACAAATTTCAAAGAAATTGTATAAATTCGGTATCGGGAAGTATTGGCAGATCAAAGTTTTCGCGATATCCCGTTGCCTCGATCGATATCATCCGACATCGGATACCGTGGACATCTATAAAGTATCCGTCGTTTATTTTTAAAGTTGCATACATTTTCCAGCTTTACTGGGATATTTCAAGTCGACGATATCCCTCGAGGCAGCTTAGGTTTTATAGGATTCGAGGGCCATCAAGAGCATAAGAGCCAATTAAGATTCCCGAGAGCTGGTATCGAGCAATGTTTAAAACGTCTCTGATCCGACGTCATAGATTCTAAGTTATTCGGTCCGTCTTGAGCTCACCGCTAAATAGTTACAACCGTCTTTCACGAAAGTTCGACGTTTCTCATCGACGTAAAACGTTCGGCCGCAAAGTGACGGAAATAGGTTTGATCTAAACAGACGATTTGGGGACCCGGTGTATCGCTGTTTACGACCATTTGTCGTCCGTCGCGAGATCCAACGTCGCGAATAGGGACGGGAAATCCAACTACGTGGAAAAGTTCGAACAAGTGGGTGTGTTTTGCAAGAATGGATGGTTAACCGGTCCGTGGACATACGCCAGATGAAAACGCCGATAAGCAAGGCGTCGTAATTTCTGGATTCTGGCCACTTCGAAGGGTGAGACCACCGCCGAGTTTAGATTCCGTCAATCGACGCTGTTTCCAAGTTTATCGTAACAACGAAATCGTCTGGAACGATTACTCGCTATTTGCTTGAACTTTTGTTATATAATTGAAATCGTATCAAAGACGTCATCCAAGCAATTTCTAGCCCGATACATAGCACGCATAATTCCATTTCTTGTCAAAAGCAACTCGTGGGAGGATCGTTTATTTGACAATGTAAGAGGGAAAGAATAAAGTAAATCACCATCGCGAGGTATCACGCGTATTTAAAGTGCACCTCTTCTTCTCGTGTTCTCCTGCGACGATACATTTCCAGCAAATACTTAACCGATCTTTACTTGCATTCAATTGCAAATACACTGTTTACAGTCAACGATACAAGTTTCGAGATACCTGAGAAGCCGTCTTTTATAGTAAGAAAGAAGCAACGATAGAATAGTCTCGCTGTATATATTTTCGATAGAATTTTATTCTCGAGATTGTTTACACTTGTATAGTTTTCCATTTCGATTACATTTCATTCAATGTTAATGCGAAATCGTTGATTTAATTCCATGCGATTTGACAAACTGGATGATGCGTCCGTGTTCCAAACGCTTCGTTAGTTCCGCGCTCCGCCGCCACGTGGACACGGCGACGATGAGTTTCTCGCAGGAGAAAGATGACGGCGCCCGTTACTAGTAGGGCTCGGAAACATTCTCTCGTTAGCTTTGCGCAGTGGCGATATCGTAACCAATGAGGTTCTACCGAGGTGCGATTATTGCTAGTTGAAAACTTTTACCAATACCCCGCCATGACGATGTGAAATACCATCGGCTACGGCAATTTTTGAAAGTTTCTGCGGAAACTGATTTTCCTTACCACAAAAATAAATTCTTTTTCAGTCGATTATTATGTATTAAATTTATTGAGATCAATGACGTATAACATTTGCATGGACCACATCATTTATCGAAGGTCTCGTCCACCTTGGCTTAAAAATAAATTTCATGGATATTCGGACACGTGCGTGGAGGGAACGCGTGCAACTTAAAAACGAGTTATTTCGAGTGGCTTTAAATCTAGATAGATGGTACAATATCCATCTCGAAAGACGTTGGCCACATTAATTACGAAAAGGAATGTATTAACACACTTGTGTGTTAGAAAAATAATAATAAATCAAATGGTAGAGTTGGATATAAGTTAGCGAACGAATACAATAAAACTAGCGTGGAAAAGTAACAAATAATCGGCTCAGTTAAATCGAACGCATTAAAAATATTTCCGAACTCAATTTCGGCGCGTTTAATAGCTGCGATATTTCAACTTGTAATGACTTTTTAATGCTCATTTTACAGGTTGCTGGCAAGCGTGAAGCAAGCCAGGAGGCTGAAGCCCAGCAATGGATCGAGACAGTGGTTGGACAAAAGTTTCCATCAGGTAATAACGATATCACAAAATTACAAAATCATCTGAAATCTATGTAGATTGTAATTTTGATTGAAGTAGTACTCAGATCGAAAGCTGTTTATTTTATACTCGTTACTTGAAGTTTGTTATCGAGACTAGAATTCGCCGAATTCACAATGCCGTGCTTATCGTAACCATACTCGAAGTTCTATCAGTGTCTGGCGTGCTCTGGAGGAAGAATCCGTCCGCACGCTTGATTGAACTTTATCGATGATACCACTCCCTTGATATACACGCGTCCATGCATGGACTCCTGTTCTTCGGAGGTGGTGCGGTTTGAAAAGCGTGTCAATATCACCACCCCCGTTCGAGACCCGCGGAATATGCGCGGAATAGGCTTACTGGAGTTCTATAATTCCCGGGTATGAATGTCAGGCCGCGTGACGTTGCAAAGGTTAAGCTTGTTAGCTAGGTCAGTTGTCGAGATATCCTTTCACGTGCGAGTGGGAAAGTTTAACAAGAGCATTTTTAAAATACGTCGTCTAAAGACGTCAGACATTCTAGACGCACTCATACCTCGTAGTTGTGTTTGTCACTTTGCATAGCAGCCTTTGCTAGACTCGAAAATTTGTCGAGACGACAGCATCTATGATAAATTAAATAAAATTGTATATCTCGAGGGGAATGGCCAAAGTTAGGGATCGATGGAGGACGGGCTCGACGCGAAAGGAAGTCGACGACCGCGGTTTCTAGGGGTAGGTTCATCCCCCGTTCGCGGATGCTCTCCTACTAAAACGCGCGCTTTGTTACGTCATTCGAGTCACCCTATTGAACGGGAAGTGGGTAGCAACCCCTACGTGTAACGTGCACCCCTGATTTGTGAAATACGCCAGGCGTCGACGCAATCGCCGTGTTGGACATGCGGATCGCAAGCCTCGTTTTGCACGAAGAAACGAATAAGATTCGCTTATTTTCCTTCGTTTACACTCTTTTCCACCTTTTCGCGATTCGAAGTATCACGTATTTCGACTCGTGAAAAGTAAGAAAAAGAAATCCTTCGATAAATGTAAACGCACCGCGACTTCGCATTGGAAAAACATTTGAACGTAAACTTTAGGTTTCGCGCGATGCTTCTGTGATAAGCTGCCGCCCTGATAGCACGGAGTGCGCGACGAAGGTGGCTAAACGATGACACCATTCTCGCTTGGCGTTTTAATTAATCCACGCTCGAACCCCTTCGCGGAATTCCCTGAGAGGGTTGTTTGTTCTATGCAGAAGCTTCCTTGACGAAGTGCGAGCCTGGTGGTTGCGGATTCAAGGCGCACCTGCCATAAGCGCATCGCCTCGCGTAACAGAGAGAAAAGTTCTTTTCGATCACGAGGGAATCGTAATGCTTCTCCACCGAGGAGATTCACATTTATCTGTGATAATTCTTAAATCACAGGCCTATTAACAGGACAACAACTGGATATATCAAAATTAATTATCGATAGTCTTGTCTGTTATCAATCATTGAGAATTGCTCCTGGACAACCAACACGACTAATCGATTCCAGGAGGTAAACACTGGAATGCGAAAGTCCACAAATAGCGATCGATGCGTCTTCTAATTAGCACAGTTACCGGATAATTTCATCCACAACAGCGTAATTGTCGTTCGGGCGGGCAGTGTCGGTTCCACCTAACCTCCTAGTACGCAGAGGCTCTACGTGATGATGCGAGCCGGGTATTCGAAGCTTTTGATGTTATTGACTCGTTTAAAATTGAACTTGGACTATCCGCGTTCGACTGCCACCGCGATCGTACGCGTACTCTCCTCCCGGCTCGCCCCTAACATCCACCGGTCGTTCTGATAGCATGAGCGGAATTTGACGTATTCCAGAATTCCTGAATCTTTCGGTTATGGATGTTAGCCTGTTCCTGGAAGCTCGCGAGGCATGCTGGACACGACCCTCGCGTTACGGGTTACGTACTCCGAATATTCTTCGGGAAAGGGGAGGTATTATAGCGAACTTGAATATTTAAATGGCGAGGTGAACATGAGAATTTATTCGATTTGAAAAATCCGTTATAGGTTCATTTGTTTATAGGTGTTACGATATATAGTTGGTCGAAATTTTGTGCGCGAGTGTTTTATGGCAGGGTCAGCTATTATAAGTCAAGCACCTCCACGAGTGGTTGCCCAATGAGGGATAATGACTCGATCCTCTATCTATAGAGCCTTGTCACAGGCTTGTATACAGGCTTGTCTGTTTATGACAGGTCTAGATGTGTCGATTGCCAAGCCTTAAAAAAGCCTCTACCTTTTTGGTAAAAGGACTCAAAAACAACCCGCCACTTCAAACGTCGAATATCAGGCCAATCTATGACATATCCTACCTAGAAATTCGTATTTAAATGTCACTACGTTTCTAAACGACGCGTCGAAGGTAAACCTTGCATACTTGGATCACTTCGATTCGAATTTCCGCGTTTCCCTTCCGTGTGCTTAGAGTCTCGTTTAAACGACGTTGAACGGATCAGTTGTCTGCCGACGACGTGTATTGATTTAGCGTCATCTGTTCATCATGTTACGTCGTAAGGACGCCAATGTATCAGGGCCGCATACAAGACCCTGGATAGTCAAGTCACAAACATTGGCATTGTGTCATTTCTTGTTCCCGCCTTCTCGCATCCCCTTCAACTTTCCTAGAGGGAATTGAACGTTAA